TCTGGAACCTGTGCTCTTAATAGCTCTAACAGTGTTATTGTTTCTAAACACAAAACTGTTAAAATGGGGAGGAAGAGCATTCACATGTCCCTGGGGAGTTGGTGCTTCAGAGATGAGCCCAGGTTCTCCCATCTGCCTCAAATTCCTTACCTTAGCCACCTCCTGTTAAAACAGAGAATTTTGGGGGTTTTTTTACGCCTCAAAGAATGCCTCCTGTTACACTGTGGAATTGGAGCCACTAGGTAAAACCTGCATAACTTTCTTTGAAGGCAGTTTCAAAGAGAAGGCAGTTTCAGAGAGGAGCAGGTTTCCCTCATGACACCCATCGTTTTATCTTTCTAATCCAGAATAAGAGCTGATTGTCTAAACCTGTGTTTTAGTTTAGTTATAACAAACTTAATAATAGATTTAATTGATCTTCATTTCACAACTCATGAATGGAGCAGCCTTTATTCATCAAAGTAGAGAGATCAGACTGAGCAATGCCAAAACAGTTGGTTTATCAAGAACAAGGAACCAGGAAAAAAAAAAAAACGATTAGCTGATGTCACATTATTTCAGATAATTATTTATATAAGGGTTAAAGCAGAAAAGACTTAGTGCTGACTCAGACTGGCATCTTCTGTTTTGAGGAAAAACTGATCTGTGGGATCCCTTACTTCTTTTAAGATTATTTGATTATATGAGACTTAGCATGAGTGACTCCATTTTGGTTTGGTTCAGTCTGTTGAGGCCTAGTATAGGAAGGCGATACGTCCAATTTGTTTAACAAAGCACTTACTGCGAGTAGAGATTAAATTATTTATGTAAAGCCTTAATGATTTTTATTTTATGCTAGGCCTTTTTTCTTTTTTTTAGTCCTTTGTTAGTTTTAACTCATTTAATTGTTTGGCTCTATAGGGTAGTGACTATAGATTATCTCTCTTCCAAAATGCTTAATACCAGAATTGTTTTTGGGTTTTGGAGTTCTTTAAATTTTGAAATATTTGTATATACATAAGGTATCTTGGGGAATGGTCTCGAGTCTAAATTCAGAATTCACTTATGTCATTGTACATCCACCTTATGCATATAGCCCAAAGGTAATTATTAGTACAGTAATGTTACTAGTGTTCTTGTGTAGATTGCAGTCTGTCGAATGAGGCCAGGTGTGGAATTTTCTATATGTGTCTAAATGTCTTGAGTTTCAGAGTTTGGAACATTCTATTGAATTTTTGTATTGGGGTGTTCAATGTGTATTTTAATTTCCATAGATATAAAAACAGAGGCTTTGTTGGTAAAGGAGCTTGGCAGAATTCAAACATAATTAAGTGGAGCCAGGTTTTGACCCAGGCAGTCCAGCTGATGGATTTGCTTGTAATCGCTTCTGCTGTCTGTCAAGGAAGTTACGAAGTTGTGATTCAAAACCAAACTCAAACTAGACTCTAGTGAATGATAGTTTTCTGTTTTCAGCAGTTTGTCAGTCCCCTCTCTCCTTTTCCAGCCTTACCAAGTATAATTGGACCAACCAGACTTTGAAAGTCTATAATAGAAAAGCAATTGTTGGGGCCGGCGATTTAGCTCAGCGATTCTGTGGCCTGCCTTGCAAGTGCAAGGACCTGAGTTCAATCCCCGGTACCAAAAAAAAAAAGAAGAAAGAAAGAAAAGCAATTGTTGACAGATTGAGACTAGATTTATAGCATCCAGCATTATTAGTTGTTTAGAACTCTGCATTAAGTTTGTAGTAAGTGCTTTTTGTTTTTTATTTTCTAGTCTCCAACTTGGAAAAGAGCATAACCAACACTTCTGTCAGCTCAGAATAGAAATACCTTTGATACTTGACCTTCTGGACTGGCCTGTACCTTGGTGTGTCATGGTTATGCCAGCCTAGTTTCTGGTCTGGTGTTAAGTCTATCAATTATTTATTACCTTTTTTGGCAAGGAATTTTCATTGTATATAGAAAAGAACACCCTGCAAATTCTGCTGGCTCAAAGTTTATATGAAGCGCATTTTGTTTGAAAAAGTGATTTTTTTTTAAAAAAAAAGCAGTGATTGTAACTGTTTGTTATTAATTGAGGCAGTCACCCTGATAAGCAAGTTATATTGCCCAATTATGATTTGTTTTTTTGACACATTATGGTTTTGATGATTATGGTTTGTTTTTGAGAAATGGTTAATATTGGCACTAAAAAGTAACTAGAGATGGGTTAAGATTAAGTGCTTAGAAAATTTAAATTGTGATGTGTGTGCTGCATTTCAATATAATAATAGCTTTGCTTATATTGTGTTACGTATATAAGTTAGAAACAAATTTTGAAAAAGAAAAATCAAGAAAAGAGACCCAGACTTATGTTGCTGAAAAGAATAGGTGAAAATTAGGTGAAAACAGAACCAGAAGGCTTGGAAAACATTAATATACTAACTTCTCTGGTTGAATATCAAAAATTGGGTGGTGAATAATAATAATAATAATAATAATAATAATTGATTATTAATACTGACTTTAAAATCTTTTTTAAATAGCTGTTTCCCATAAGAAATACTTTTTATGATCTTCTCCTTAAAGTACATAGATAGTGCTGAAAATACAGCAAAATATATAGAAAGATGAGATTATTAGATCTTGTAATTGGACATTTTTTTAGGTTGAAATAAACACTCAAACTATAGTCAGAAGTTACAGAGTGTACTTGGGTCTCCATCTTTATTTGTCCTCTGGTACATATTGTGAGTACTCTTGAAGTCACTGGAATGGTAGAGATTAGAAGTGTTATTCTTTTTTTTTTTTGTATGAGGTATTGAACTCAAGGACCTTGAGCTTGTGAGGCAAGCACGGAGGCACTGAGCTAAATCCCATGCCCCAGATGTGTGTTATTCTTTTCATCTAGTGGCCAATTATAAATTATCAGCACAGTGACTTTATTGTGCTTTGGGTTTAACTGGATTAATCAGTGGTATTCTATAGGGAGAGGTCAGTGTTGGACCAGAAAACTTTATTTTTAAAAATCCATCTCAGTTTGTTTGGTAGGAACTACAAGTACCCTTCAAGTCACTGTCATGTTACAGCTTAGAAATGTTCATCTTTTTCACCCAGTGGCGCACTTGTAAAGTAGCAAGGGAGGGATACATTTTTGTGTCTGGGGCTTAAGTGAATTAATCAGTATTATGTATAGAAAGAGGTCATTATGGACAAGAAAACTTAATACAAAATCACCTAGCTTGTATTCCAACTTGTTAAAAGTATACATTGAAAACATAGCACAGGTAATATGTTAATGTTTCCTAAGTCTTCTGATTATTTGAAGATAGAAAGTCACAGTGCTTGAGAACTGATCATGGTAATAAAAGCCCTATGAAAGAGAATAGGAATGAAAAATAACATTACGACTGCTTTGGTGAAATTGGAATCATCTTGAGTCTTGAGTCCTTGTGGTGAGAGGTCCCTTTAAACCTTTAAAAATAGTTTTCTCTTCTGAATTTGTAGGTCACACAGATGAAAACTAGCAGAATTATGCTTTATTATGATTGGATTGTACCAGAAGAAATTTCTTTGAGGTACATAAAAAAGCTTTCCAGGCAGGTGGAACCATTTCATTATTTACTAAGATTATCAGATATTCCAGATTTCCTAGAACTGAGAGGTTTCCCAAGATAATAAGACTAAAACCTGGATGGTCCTGGACAAACCAAAATGATTTGGTCACCTTCCTGTTCATTTTATCAATTAATGGAAATGACCAGCAATACCATTGTATACATGATCTCTGTGTATAAAGAAGTAATGTCCCTGTATTGATTAAAATTAAGTTCCATATTCTGTAGTTTACATTTTAATAAAACACTTATTTTATACTTTGTGGTTGCTAAATCTTTGATATGTTCAGAAGAGGTGACTGGTTGGTTCCACCATCTTTATCTTTGCTACACTTGAGTTTTACGTTTTATGCAACTGGTACAAGAGCTTTGCCCACATTCAGGGTTTCTGACCTTTAAGGATCCATATTCGTTCGACTAACCTTCCCTGTTTTATTACTGAGTTGTTTCCTGTGTGTTAATGCTATCTTCAAAACTAGACCTACAATTAAAGCAGAAACTTTGACTTCTATCATCTTTGTATCTTTGCTATGAAGACTAGGCAACTTGTAAGTATGTTCATTAATTGATCAAGGCCAATGGATTTGTGACAGTGCTTCTAACCTCCCACAATAAAAACAATAGTCTTCATTAAGTGATTACTTTGTGTCAAAGTACTAAATATTGTACATGTTTTATACTATTTAATCTTTATTATGACATGAGATGGGTAGCTTTGCTCTTCCTAGTCTACTGATACAAAAGAATGAGCCATAGAAAAGATAACTTCACACAGCTCTTAAGTGGCAGAACTGTAAATGAAATCCAAAATCTTAACTCCAGTTGGATCTTGAGAAGTATACCAGATTGTTTCACATATTTGCCCTTCTTCTCCCCTCTTTCCTGGTTATGGATCCATAATCCACTGAGATACTGAAGTGGCAGTTTTTAGTTGTTCAGATTCCTTTTTCTGTATAACCCTCTGCAGTGCAATAATCATCTGGTGAGAGACCTTACGTATATCCTGTTACTTCCTTTGTATTACCAATGCTTTTGTTGAGGTACACTTAATCTCATATCAGAACTCATACCTGCTCAGGTTATTTTTTCAAACTGCAATTCTTATTATTGAAACCAAACTATGCATGATTTAGTATATCATAGAATCTATTCCATAGGATCCTGTTCATCTTATCTCTATCTTTTTGTCCCATTGTCTACTCACACTAGTAATTCTCCAGGTGCTCCATGTTTTCTGTCTTCTTCATTCTGTTTTGAAGATTATACTTCAAGATGGCGGTTTACTCAAAGGTTGTCTTCTCTGTGACCCTTTCTTGGTCCCACTGGATTGGATTATTTGCTTTCTCTTATGTGCCCCTGGTATACTACTTACATTTTATATCCATTTTAGTAATTATCACTCTGAAAGCTATTTATTTCTTCACAGGTTGTCTCTTCACCAGACTATGAGCTCCTTGAAAGAAAGAATCGTGTGTTACTCATCTTTATATCCCCAGTGTCTAGCACAGCTCTTGATACCTAGTAAGTAACATTTTTTAAATTAATAAGGTACTTAACAAACTCAGTGTGTGTTGGTAGTTATTTATACCTATAGACCTAGTAACGTCATTATAAAAAATTGGCCATAGAATTAACACTTTTAGAGCTGTTTCCTTATTTTTAAGATGGACATAGTAGCTACCTTCTCACTATGTTATAATGCTCAGGTTAAGGAATATCAGTTTGACTACATTCTACTTTTAGTACCTCACAACTTTGTAATTAAATGAAATGTGGGTACTAATTGTTGAAATCAATCCTTTTATTTGTTATGTGTCTTTTAAGGTAATATAGTTTCAATTTTGTCATGTGTAGCAGTTACTTATTACCAGAAATATGTGTCCTTAACGTGTACACAACGAGGCTGTATTCTGTGTGTTTTAATGCTGGGCTGCTCTGACCCACTGATAGGTCAAGCTGACAGGAACGTATTAAGTCTGAGGATTAATTTCTGTAGAAGAGTTCAGTTAGAACAAAGGGAGAGATGTATTGGAACTGGGACCCAGTGTACAGAGGGAATGTGGTGTAATAGAGTGGAGAGTCTTTTACCTGGTTGCAGTGAGTCGTAGTCTGCATAGTGGGTTTTTTTGGGGGAGGGGGGTACCAGGGATTGAGCTCAGGTCCTTGCACTTGCAAGGCAGGTGTCGGAACCACTGAACTAAATCCCTGGCCCTGCATGATGTTTTTAAAGTATAAAAATTTTTCTCAGATAAGTAATCTGACAGCTTTGTTTTTAGATTAAGAAATCATTCTTCTGTCTTGAGCCATTGTGATGGTGTACACATGTAATCCCAGCACTTGGGGGGCTGAGCCATGATGAATTACAGGCCATCCAGGGCTGCATAGTCAGTTCAAGCCCAGCCTGGACTACACAGCAAGACTTCTGTCTCAAAAGAATGGACAGATTATCTAATTCACTAATGAAATCCTTTGATTTTTTTTTTTTCCATCTACATTCAAATGAATGAATGTCTTCACCTATCTTTGAGCCTCTTAGTTTCCAGAGGAAAAAAGAGTCTTTTTCTTGGAAAACTAATTATTGCCATCTGTGTTGAAAGCTTTCTTTTCCATCATAGAAAAGAAATCACACTTGATGAATTAATGAGTCATACTTTTCCATATATATTTTCTTGCCTTCCATGCATTTTTTTAAAATTAAAAAATGTGTAATTTGAACATGCCAGAGTAAAGTAACGTTGCTGTCAGTAAAAAGCACAAACATTTGTGAACCAACCATTCCAATCCCAAAACTAGGTCAGTGCCAACATGATTAAAGATACACTTGTGAGTGCTTCTCCAGCACCATATTCCTGTCTTTTCCCACCTGCCAAAGTAACTGCCATCCTAAGTTTATCTCCTCTTTTTTTAATTCCACAAATAAAATTCTTTGAGTTTCATATTTTTTCTGTCTATAGAGTTTTTAAAGATTGAACAAATAGTATTTAATTGTAGAGGAAAATCTAATTTATAATTTTTAATACATTTCAAGGAAAACATTCAAACAGAAAAGAATACCTAGAAACATCTTAATATGTAAATTCAAATTTATAATTGGAAAATAATTGGAGACTTAATTTTGGACTGTGTAGATGTGCTATCTGGTGCAATTCTCCTTATACAAAATCCAGAGACACAGAAGAGTCCTAGGAGTGCAGAAGCATTTCTCTGCATCCTAGTTTGTTTGTCATATGTAGACGTGCTTCCATTAGATTCATAGAGCACTCCTAAGAATGATAGCCTTATCATTCAGTGGCTTTTTTGGATCATAGGAATTCTTCAGTGCATTTTATGTAATTGCATGTTTGTCACATAACTTTTTGAGGCTCAGAATCCATTGTCCCACATTTTTGGATATCTTTTTCAGTTATAGAGGCATGGCATGTTTCAAAGAAAATGTGTAACAAAAGATGAGGTCATAGTACCCACCAAGAGAAGTCATTTCTTTATCATAAGTATTTATGACTTTAGTATAAAATGTTAAATCTTGGAGGTAGGACTGATTGAGAGGAAGATATTAATGCTGAGAAGTCCTATTTGTCTTTTTTATTTTTCCCTTTTATTATATTTCTAAGATATATTCATGTTGTTGCCTATAACGATAGTCTGTTCGTTCTCACTGCTGTATAATGCTGCATTGTGTGACTGCCTTTTCCTAATCGGTTTTCTACCAATAAATATTTCAGTAGTTTCCAGTTTCTTGTTCTTAGGAAGAATATTTATACTAGAAAAAAGTAATAATTACCCTTTGAAGGGCATGTAAATGTGCAGCTTTACATGATAATGTCAGGTTGTTTTCCAACCAGATTTTGCTATTTTAAATACCTACCATTATATTAGAGCTAGCAAATTTTCCATGTTGTTTTGCTATTGTTTGATACTTGGGTCAGTTTTCTGTCACTGTGACAGGATACCTGAGAAAAGCAATTTAAGGAGGAAAGATTGATTTTGATTCACTGTTGCAGAGGTTCTTGTTCTGGCCTCTCTGCTTTTAGGCTTGTTCGGAGGTAGACACACCCTCCCAGAAGGGCCTGGAGAAGAAGAGAGCTCCTCCTCTGGTGACAGCTGTGGAGGGGTGGTTTAGTGGCAGCCTTCGTTCCCAAGATTCCTCTTTCTTCACTTTTGTTCCATCAGCCCCCCTCCCTTCTGTTTCCTGTCTTTGGTGGTTAATTGACTAATTGTCAATTTGAGTAGGGAATACCCAGCTGAATTGAGTCAGTATGGTTCTGGGCATGGAAAACCCACTTAAGAAGGCTTGTTGGAATGGTATAAAAGGAGTATGGAAGGGAAGGATTTTGGTGGATTTCCCTCCGAAGAGCTTTGTTCCAGCTGCTTTTCTTCAGAGAGGCTTTCGCTTTCTCTTTGGCTGAGTTCTGGTCTTCAGCTTTGCCAAGGTTGGCTGCTGATGTCTTTGGAGGAGCTCTGATCTTTGCCTTTGCCTTGGGTGTCATTTCTTGTCTTGGCATAGATTTTTCAGCTTCCAGCACTGGTTCTTGGGCTTTCCAGTGCAGACTCTTCAGTCTTCCATGGCCTACTGATAGGGATTTGCATGGGACATGGCTCCAGGCCTTTGGCTGGATTCTTCAGTTCTCTAGTATGAACAGATCTCTTGTACTTTTCTACATTTGACTCTGTAGATGGATATTGTCAGTTAGACTTACACCTGTCTGTGTCCTGCATTAAATCCGTTTCTCTTGCAAGTACAGTGCACCCTTGACTTAAAAACTCATTTTGTTTCTGAAGGCTGATTATAATTAATGTTGGTTAATTGCCTTCAAAGTCTCTCTCTTGTATAATTTTAGGCCACTGTTTCTTCCAGGCAGATCGCTGTGTCCTTAGTGAGACATTTGGTCCAGGATTTTTCAGTTAACCCCACACAGGAAAGGATGTTGTAATGTTCCTTTCAGAACTCTTTAAGGATGAAATCTGTATCTGAGACCATCTGGAAGTACAAGCAACCAGCATTCACGTAACCCAAGTAGGTCATAAGTTAAAACTCAAATTCCAGTTGTAGCCCAAGTTGTTCCTGTGTCTGTCTGGTCAGTCATAACTCGAGGAAACGCTGTACTGACTACAGCACTGTCCCACATGCCAGTCATCTCCAGAAGCACCCTCAGAGTATGATTTACTAGCTTCCTAGGTGTTCCTCAATCTATTAGTCATCTCACATCCTAACAACATTCATAGTTTTTATCATTTTAATGAATTTTAAAATCATATCTTTCCATCTGAAGTTATATTTTTCTGATGGGCAGTAACATCCTGCATTTTCTCATATATTTGTTGACCTTACAAATTTCCTGGTCTACAAAAATTCCAGTTAAGGATTTTGCCCAGTTGCCTAGTGTATTATCTTATTACTTGTAGGTATTCTTATATACTTTAAATTCTAATCTTTAATCAGCTTTTTGTTTTGCAAACATCTCTCAGTTGTCTTTTGATTTCTTTTTTTGATTTTTATAATTTAAAATTTTTATTTAGTTTTTTTAAATAACAGGTTGTCCATAAGCACAGTCAAAATATTCATTTTTTTCTCTTGATTACTGAGCTTTGTCTCTCAAGATAGCTATCAAGTTTAATGCTATAATTTCTTTCATATTTATATTTTTAATCTGTTCTGTATTACTTTTATGTGTGATGCATATTAGGGATCTTGTGTTTTATAATGTACCCTATTTATCTAGTGTCTCACTTTGTCTTTTTTGTTTTGTTACTTTTCTTTCTATTTTATTAGTTTCTTATTTTGGATTTCTCTTGTTACTCTCTTTATAATGTGTCACATTGGCCTATTAAGTCATCAGTTTCCAACATTTCTTTTCCTACTATAAGTTTTTAAGGCTAAAGGTTTGCTTCTAGGTGTAGCAATTTGGGTATTATACAAATTTCTGTAGGTGTTACTTTTCTTATTCAGTTCTTGGCACTTCTAAATTTTCCATAATAGTTTCTTCTAACCCTTGAAATTGTTGAAGTGTTTTTAAATTCTATTTAAATTTAAATTCTATTTACATTTTTAAAATTTATATTTTTTGATTTTCAATTTAATTGTATTATGGTCAGAGACAGGGAACATCCTTATTTAAAATTCAGTAAGACTTTCATTACTTTCCATTATAGTATCTGTATGGGTTTTTTGTACGTTTCTTTACTTTTTAAGAAAAAAGTTTACTTTCTAAATTGTTTCTGAGGTTTTGTTTGTTTTTTAAACCTTGCTCTTTCCTACTTGACCTGGGATATTAATTGGGATGTGTTGAAATCTCCCATAACGATCAGTTTGTTAGTTTTCCTTCTATACTTCTTATAGTTCTTTGAAGCTTCTCACCTTCATTGGAAGGCAAGTTTTGTCTTGATTGCCTAGAGATTTGATATGCTATGATGTATTTTTCAGAGTAGAGAGAGAAAGCACAGGATATAAATGTTTTTTGGTTAATCTTCCTTGCCATCAACTGAGAAAGCAGCATAGTTCCAACCCTGAAGTAGGAGGCTGG